GCTCTGCTCCAGGCAGAATTAGGAAGACAGTCACCTGCGCGGAGGGTTTTGAATGGCCAGGGAGGGGGAGAGGAGAACCGAATGTGAACTGGGGGATATGGTACCCCTGGGGTGGGGGCTGTGACTCTAGAAGAGAGGAATAGTTTGGTGAATGACCAGATTACCAGAACTTTTAGGGAGCTCTCAAAGGCTAGCCTGATCCACTTTTCACTCGTGAAAGAAACAACCAGAGTGTAGGGGCGGGAAAGCTTCATATCAGCCCCTCCACCAGGCCTGGAGGCTGAGTCTGCTTGGTGGGGAGGGCCAGTCTTTCTGCCTGTTTCCTAGCTGGTGGCCCGCCGAGCTCTGCTTCTGTCTGTCCAGTGTCCACCGCGGAGCGAGGCCAGGGCTCCCTTTTCCTTGGGCTATGTACTTTCAACCAGTTTTGAGCAGCCCCGTTTCAGATTGGCCTTTTTATGTTTGATATAAAGAATAGTTGTTGGCCAATTTCATCTTTTCATCGCTGTTCTCTAGGCCTGAATCCAAGCAGTTTGTCAGATGCTCATTAACTCCCCCTTTGGCTCTTTCTAGTGTGTCTCCTAAGCTCATTGTGCCAAGAACTAACGCTTTCTTTTACACGATTCTCTTTCTCTGCTCCATCAGGGAGACAAATTACTTTCCAAAAGGGATCGCCAGGGATGGTTTAATGAGAATTTCTTTGGGGCTAGGCATGGAACGCAATGTAGTTAACATTCGGTGGACTTAATTGGACTTTTCTTTTCTGCCTCTTTTTTAAAAAAAATCTGAAGCTATCCTGTTAATCTCTCATTTGTAATCAATTGTGTTGACTAAACAAAAGTCTAGGTCGTCTTTTCTTCCTGTCCCAGACAATCCTTTGTTGCCTCTAAATGCCTCATTCTTGAGTGATCCTGGTCTCGTAGATGGGCCCGATTGTTGACAGTTCATTATTGCGCTTTTGTCCATTTAATCTTTCTTGCTGTGTTTTGCATGTGCATGCCTTAATGAGCTCCGTTGGCAATTAACATGTTTCTAGGAGCAAACTGGTTGCTCAGACGGTTGAGAGGGAAGTGCAGGGAAAAGGGCAACGCAGCTGCCTTGAGGTTGTTTATTTCCCAGCGTTTTCTCAAGACTCCGGTCCCCTCTTTGGCAGACTCCTCCCTCTCACTGCTCCCTCCCCTCCCCCAGCCCATTCAGCACACCTGGATGCCTCATTGCTGTGACTCCTGCTCCTGGCTCAGGCAGTCCTCCATCCTCCTGTGAGCCAAATGGCAAAATGGGGACCTTACAGACCCACTTCTGCAGCCAAAGCAAGGAGCACAGTGCTCCCCCAAATATGTCTGGATGCTGGCAACTTCTCTGTGTCGCTCTCTGCAGAGAGGAACCTCTAACCCGCCTAAGGCAACAGGACTGTACAATCTGTTATGTACAAGGCTGTGGCTTTGGAACAAGGGGAGGGGTTTTTTTTTTTTTTTTTGAGTTTTGCTGGCAAGATTGCTGAAGTGTGAGCAGTCATGGACAGAACAAACATCTTGTAGGGGAAAAGATAATTGGTGTCTTTTTGTGTCTGTGACAGGCCCCCCATCCCCCCTGCAATTTGATTCCCCCCCCCCCAATATTTTAAGGGTGGTCTCTTCAATTTAATCAAGGTTAGAATATTAACACACAGCTGATGACTACCTTGTTGAAGTCATTTACGGATATTGCAAACGACAAGTCATGCAAACAATTCAATATGAAGAGGACGGAAAAAATCTGAAAGACAGAGCCTTTTCACCCTTCAATTCCGATGCACGGTGAGGAACTAAGAAGGACCCCAGTTCAGATGGTGACTAAGAGCGCTTAGCATTTGCTTTCAGAACCTACACTGTCTGTGAAAGGTATTCAGTGATTCAGACAAAAGGTTCCCTTTCTCTTCTCACTACTCTTCAGGTGAAGGAATCCTTGAATGAAGGAAACAGGCATCTCAAACCCGGAGGAACGACTGCAAACCTGTGGGAGGCAGAGCGAAGCCCTATAGACACAGACTCGTTCTGTTTACCCACAATTACCACCAGATGTGAAATAACACCTTCTCAGGTGAGAACGATTGACAGGTTAAGTAACAGGCAGGTTATGGGGAAACCACCTTGAGGAGGCTGGTGTAAGCAAAACTCAGCTCCGCTTTGCCCCAGAGCCCCAGCTCCCGCAGAGAAGAGCAGTCCCAGAGAGAAACGCCTGCTGCTGCCCTCATTGGCTTCCTCTCCTCCGCTGCCTGGTTAGCAAGCAGGCCCCCTTCGCCCCCTTCAGAACGGCACCGGAAACACCTCTCTCCAGTTTTATGAGCAGGGGACCCTCTCTCCAAGAGAAGAATTTCTGAAACAACGTTTTCTTACTTGATGGTTAGAAAGTTATTTCCCCGATGGGGACATCCCACCTATTTTTAATTTATGTTTTCTTCTTAAAGGAGCACTTGAACCTTATTTCCACACCCAGGCCAACTTTTAAACCCTGTTCTCTAAGAGGATGCTTTTGCATAGGATGTTCACCCCTTGCCCAAAGTTCTGGAACTACTTAGAGAGAATGTGGGCTTGTGCTGGCCATTGGTTAGGCTCCAGGAAGCACATCTGCAAAGGATCCTCTCAGGAATGCAAGAAGGAAGGGATTCTGATGGAGACCGCTGTCAGGGGCACCCACGATCTCCCCGAATGGGGGCGGGCTGTGTGGAGGAGGCGGGGCTCATACAGCCCATTCTGAGAACCGGGAAGGCGCCCGCTCCCCACTCCGGCCCCGGTGATAGGGAGATAGGTGTCTGGGAAAGGCCAGGCGGCGTTTCCACGTCCTTAGCCGCCAAGCTGTCCTCGCCCACCCGGGGTTTCCTGGGGTTTGCGGCATCTACCGACATTCCCAAGTTCAATCTGCATCTCCCTTCGGGTTCCAGTCTCCCCGCAGCGAACTGCAGCCAGAACGAGCTAACATTTAAATTCCTCCTCGCTTCCTCCTCCCCCTCCCCCGGCTGCATCTTCCCAGACTTGGGGCGGTGGGGGAGGCTACAGAAACGAGGACGCTCTCCTTTCAGGAAATGGAATTCTAATGTACACGTTCCTATTTCTGCCTCGGAGGCACTAAAAATAGCCCCGCGACAGCCTGAGGAAGCTGTCGCCTTCCTCTGTGCAAACAACACCGACACTTCTCCTTCCCCGCGCAATGGGTCTGCGGGCTGGAAAGGCGGCCGGGAAGCCACCTTCGGCGGTGGCCAGGGCGAAGCATCCACCTTTCAGCCCGCCCTCCTCCAAGGATCAGAACTGGAAACAATGTAGATCCCCGCGTAGCCCGGGGTTCGAATCCCAGTCCCACCTCGTCCCCATAACCTTAGGCTTGTCATTTGGCTCCTCTCGGCCTCAACTAGTCAGCCCGTCAAGTGGGCATAACCCTCACCATAGCGAGCTGTGAACACTCGGAAGGACGTGTGTCCAGGGCCTCCGTAGATGCCAGGTTTTCAAACCCCGAAAGCTCCAGCCGCCACCAGCACTGACCGCCTGCTGTGTCCCGGGCTGTGGGGTGGCCAGACAACAAACCACGCTCAGAGTGGCTTGGGGGTTTCCTCCCGCGTTCGCCCTCTTTCCCCCCAAAGAGCCCGCACCTGCCGTGGGAACCGCGTCGCAGCAGCCGCGCCGCCCTCGCGCGGGCAGAGGCAGCACCGCGGAGGCGCCCGCCCGCCCCGCCGCCTTCCCTCCCGCCCCGCCGCCTTCCCTCCCGCGTCTCCTCCCCGCGCCGGGCCGGGGGCCGAGGGCCGGAACGTGGGCGGAATCGCCGCGCGGACATTAAGATTGGGGGGGGGGGCCGCGGGGAGAAAGGGGGAGGGGAGGTCGGCGCGCCCCGCCAGTAATCCGAGCTCGTTGATTATCCAGATTCGGATCAAACGGGGCGCGGCGGCCGGCCCCCTCCTGGGGATGATTAGATGATTAATGGAATGCCGTTTGAAGGGTCTCTGTTTTCTCTGTTAATTTGGGTCATTACTGACGAAGCAGGCGTGAGATCCTTGCATCAGCGCGCCCGGGCGGCGGCGGGGAGGGAGCTGGCGGTTCGGGAACCGGGCGGGCGGCGCGGCGATCGGGGGCGGGAGGCGGCGGCGGCGGCTCGGGGTGTTCTCCCCCCGCCCCCCCCCCCCCGGATCTGCCGCGCGGACCAGGGAGTCCCTGGGACTCAGCCCTCACCTCCGGGAAAGGCTGGGAGGGACAGCGGCCCCATTGGGTCGCCCAGCAAAGGGTGCAGCTCAGAAGCGCCCCGACTGGGCTCTTTACCCCGCGCGAGGACGCACCCCAAATTTGTTCCCCAACATCCAGCTACTTGGAACCCCTCTTTAAAAGAAAAAAAATGTCATCCAAATAAAGCAACACCCAGAATTCCAAGCGTCGGAACAGTCACCAAAGAGAAAAATTTCATCACGTGGAGGCCTTTTCACCTAAGTTTTTTTTTGGGGGGGTGTGGAGGGGGCTGGGAAGGGTCTTAGTGCACAGGCGCAGTAGGAACACTGGGTTGGCCTCCCAGGAGGTCGCCTTTGGTCAGGGAAACGCTACCCGTGTGCATTGCCTGCTCCTTCTTCGGCGTTTGCTGAGCGGATGGCGCCGCGAGGGGATGGGGACGGGAAAGAAAACGAGCACAATGACCTGTTTATTGAGTCACATATGTGTGTATTCCGTGTTCGGGTGGACAGGAGGGTTTACATGGCTGTAGAATGGCGGTTGAGGCGTTGCTGTCCCAGGCCGGTGGCCGGAATGAAATACGTGTCGGCGCACAAGGTTTCAATAAGTTTCCCGAATGAATATACATAGGTCGGAGCCAGGCTGCTCGCTTCCAGTCTTCGAGGAAACGTTTAAACTTTCCAAAAATTCGCTGGTTTCGATAAATAGAAGTTAGCCTCTCTGCTACAGTCTCTTCCCTCTGAATTGTAGACACGAGTGGACAGGCGCGCTCTGCCCGGGGCCGGGAGTCCTGGCCGGAGGGAGGGCCGGCCTGCGCTCTCAGCTCTGCACGGTCCGGGCCAAGTCCTTGGCGGCGGCGGGGGCGGCGGGGCCCGCGCTGTCGTGCAGTTTGCGCACATGCTTCTTGAGGTCAAAGTTCCTGCAGAAGCCCTTACCGCAGGTGGCGCAGGTGAAGGGCTTCTTGTCGTTGTGGGTGTGCATGTGGAAGGTCAGGTTGTAGACCTGGTGGAAGGCCTTGTTGCAGATGGTGCACTTGTACTGCTTCTCGCCGCTGTGGGTCAGCTTGTGGTTCTTGTAGTTCCCTGCAAAGACCCAACACAGCATGGTTCGGGGATGGCCTGGCAAGGGGAGGGAGGGGGGGTGTCTGGGCCTCCTGGGGTGGGCTCCAGTGCTCCGCTCAGCCGGTACTACCTCTGTGAGCGGAGAAGTTGTCAAACTTCGTCAGCGTCCAACCCACAGCTCACAGGACTGGCTGGACGGCTGAGCCCCAGCCTCAGCCCAGGCCCTGGTCCCCTCCCTTCCTTCCCCCGCCCGGTCCTCCGGCCCCAGGCCCGCCCCGCGGCCCTCCCGCTGCGCTGGGCCGGCCTGGACACTTTCTCACCCCCAGTGACACGTGGGGTCCAACTCTGGCTTGCTACTTCGCTCTAAGAAATTCTCTCGAACCCAGGCTTCATCTCTCATCCCCCCCCTCATTAAAAGTGTTACTCCCTCTTGTCCCCCAGCTACCACCTGGACAGATGACATGCTTTGGAAGATCGAGAAAAATGCCAAGGTTGGGGGTTCTGGGGACTGTCTTAAATCGTTCCCACGTGGTGGGTTTTGCCTAGGGTTTTTTCCCCTTATTTTTAATTATTATTAGAAAAGGGAGTACCGGCTACAACGGGAACCTTTTCTGTAAGGCAACACACTCTCTCCTACCTTCTTTCCCTCTGTCCCTGCCCTCCTTATTCCTGGCTCCTCTGTGCAACCAACCAGAATCCGGCGAGGTCTGCTAGCTGCCCGGGAGCTCCTACCAAACCCAGCCCAGCCCGATTGCCGAGAAACGCGGCGCGCCTGCTCCCTCTCTCCAGACCGCTCAGCCTCTCCGCTAGCCCGCCGGCTCCCCAGGTGAGAGGGCAGAGGCCTCCGCCCAGCACCCTACCTTTCTGGTGGAAGCCTTTGCCGCAGAACTCGCAGACGAAGGGCTTGTAGCCCGCGTGGATGCGGATGTGCGTGTTGAGCGTGGAGCTGCGGTTGAACGCCTTGCCGCACTGGTTGCATTTGTGAGGCTTTTCCTGCGGAGAGGGGCGCGAAGGCAGTGAGGCCAGGTGCTGGGTGGGGAGAGGCCACCTTGGGGGGGGGACCTTGAAGGAGCACCTTGGAGGGAGGGGCAAGGGCTCTCGGAGGAGCGGGGTACAGGGAACCCTGGGCCATCCTCTCCCAGCCACGCCGCTCCGGAGAAGGGCTTGCATTCGGGTGGGCCTGGCCGGACCCGGGGCGACGGGCCACGGGGCCACGTACCTGGGTGTGGATGATTTTGTGTCTGCACAGCGTGCTGGCCTGGCGGAAGCCTTTGCCACAGACTTTGCACACGAACGGCCTGGCTCCGGTGTGCACAGGCATGTGGCGGGTGAGGTTGTAGTGCGCGTTAAACACCTAGGGGAGGACACGGGAGAGGCGCCTTGTGGTGTGTCCGTGGGGGGGCCTGGACTCAGCCCTGGGAGGCCACGGCTCACCCTGCCCAGGCGGCACCCCTCCCCCAACCAGAGCCCCTTTCATTCTGCAAAGGGTTCCCCAACCCTCTGCCCTTCCCAGCTGCGTGTGGCACCCCCATTGTACAGAACAGGAAACTGAGGTCGGGGACTTGAGTAAACAGCTATTGGGGAGCTCCTAGAGACCAGGGAGCACCAGGCATCCCCCCCAAGAAACAGCCGCCGCTGCTGCCCACCCCTCCCGGACCCCAGGGCCCAGGCCTCACCTTGCCGCACACCTCGCAGGTGAAGTTCTTGGGCTTGCCGTCCGCGGACGCGCCGCCGGGCAGCTTGCCATGGTGGCCCTTGCCGCCGCCGCCTCGCTCGGCCGCCAGCGCCGAGTTCTCCTTCAGCACCTGCTCCAGCGGCGCGGGCAGGCGCTCCTTGTGGGCGTAGGGGGCCGCCGGGTGGGCAAACTTGTCCGCGGCCAGGCCGGCCAGCTTGGCGTTCTCCAGCAGGAAGAGCTTGGGGTGCGCTGCGGCCAGGGCGGCGGCGGTGGCGGGGGCCTGCGCCGCGGCGGCGTTGAGGAGGCCGGAGGGGAAGAGGGGGCCGCCCAGCAGCTCGGAGGGCGGGTAGGCGGCCGAGTCCAGGTAGTTGAAGTAGTAAAGCGAGCCGCTGGCCGGCAGCCCCACGGCCGCGTGGTGGTGGATGACCTGCGGCTTGATGACGCGGCCGGCGGGCAGCGCGGCGGGCGGCAGGCCCAGCTCGGCCTTGCAGCACACGCCACAGTTGGTTTTGCACAAGCCGCTGGCGCCGCACACCGGGGCCCCCCCGCCGCCGCCGCCGCCCGCCCGGAGGCTGCTCTTCCAGAGCTCCGAGTAGCTGAGCAGCGTCTTGGACGGCATGTCGTAGCCCAGGGGCTGCAGGGGGAGCATGCAGGGCAGCGGCGAGCAGAGGTTGAGCAGTTTCTTGCCCTGGCCGCCGCCGTCTGCCTCCAGCGCCCCGGAGGGCCGGGGCTCGAAGGGCGCGCGGGGCTCCGACGTCTTGGCCATGATGCGCTCGATGGAGAAGGCCAGCGTCTTGGAGGTGGCCGGTGACGCTCCTCCGGCGCGGGGACAGGCCGAGGGCACCATGGTCTCCAGGGAAGCCGAGCTGGCCATGGCGCTCCGGGGCGAGGCGCGCGGGCCGGGCCAGGGCGCAGCAGCCTCTCTCTCCTCTAAGTCTGCATCCCGGAGGAGAAGGCGAGGGAAGCAAACCGCAGTTTAATAAGCACCTAAGTCGGGTCCAGGTCACCCATTTGCATTCAAATGAACAGGGGCAGGCAGAACAAAGTGCACCCAAGGGTACCAAATCGCCGCTCATTCATCCAGCGCGCGAAGGGACCCACCGGCCCTGCCCTGGGACATTCAAAGGGGGCGCAGGGAGGGCTTACAAAGGACCAGGAGAGAGAGAGGAGAGAGAGAAAGGGAGGGAGAAAGAAAAAGAGCCTCAAATGAACCCTCCTGAGCGGTTCCCCAGACCCCGGCCTCCTCCGGCACGCGCGCCGGGGGCTGGACGGCGAAGGGGCGAAGTTACCGGGGACCCCGAAGCCACCGCGCGTTTACCTCTGTCCCCCGCCGCCGCGGAGCTGCCTCCCGAGCCATGCAGCGCTGTCTCCGCTGTCACATTTTGATGGCAAACCTCTTCCCCTCCGCGTGAGATCCCTGTCTTTCACATGCAGCTGACATCACTTGGAAGAGTCACTTCAAGGGGAAGGACCCGGGCGGCGGCGCGGCCCCGCCAGCGGCTCCCGTGTCCCCCGCGCCCGCCGGCCGCCGCCGCCGCCGCCCCTCAAACTTTAAACGGAGGCAACTGGCGCCCGCGCTCCCCTCGGGAAAGTGCGAGCGGCTCGCGAATCATCGGGAAGGAGGGGAGAGAGGGGAGGGGGAGGGGGAGGAATCGTGATCGTTTTGCCGGTGGAGAAAAAAAAGTGGCGGGGGGGGGGGGGAGAAAGAGAAAGAGTCCAAACCCAGGCAGAGTTCCGTGCGTGATTCACAACTTTGGGGGCCTATGGGTTTGAGGGACGCGGGGAGGACCGGGGATCCCAGTCTGGCCGCCCCAAAGGGCCCCCGAGAGTCCATCTAGTTGCCGAAGTAGCATCCCCTTCGCCCTCCGCAGCCGCGCCGGCCCCGCGCTAATAAGCTGCTGCCGTGTAGCCGCGGAGCCGGCGCCAGCCCCGAACACGCGCACATGGTAATTACCTCATTAGGATGTGGCGCAGGGACGCGAGCGTCGCGTTTGGAGGGCGAACTTGTTAATGGGGAATTATTAATTTATGCAAAAAAAACCAAAAAAAAAAACAAAAACGAGCTTGTCTCGGCTGGCGTCAGAGGAGGTCGGGAGAGAGCTCCCGCCGCCTGGGGACGACCCCGCAGCGCCGGGCAGAGCGAGGCCGCGCGCGCCCAGGTTCCCCCGGACCAGGCGGCAGGCGGGGACCCTCCCCCTCCCCCTCCCCGGCCAGCTCCCTGCCTCTGGCCAGCTGAAGGGCTGCGGGAGATTCTAATGGATCAGAACCGCCGATCTGTGATCGGGTGTCGGAGGAGGCAGAGCCCGGCTCCGCTGTTGGTTCAGGGCTGCTGCGCGCGGGGGAGAATGCGGAGGGCAGCTCTCCCCGCGGATGGATGGAGACTTGCTGTTTGTCTAATTGAGAAGGGCCAGTCTCCACCTGTTTAAGGAGCAGATTGAAACGGCAGAACCTCCCCTGGATCCTATTAAAACGCTTTTCCCTCCGAAGGCCCATTCAGGGGAACCAATTTTCCGAAGTGATTCATGGAGCTGAATTCTGCCAAGGCAGCTCTTTCACTTTTCGCCACTAAAGCGCCGCGTGGAACCGGGTTTTGTGTTTTTCTAAAATAAAGAGGAGGATTATCAGAGGGGGGGGGAAGAGGCCTGGAGGGGGGCGGGAGAGACTTAGTGTGGCCAGAGGTACAAGCGGAGGGAAGAAAAGGCCCTTTTCTAGACAGGCCCCAACTAAGTTCGGAGGAATTCGGCGTTTTGTGCCTGGCGCACAAAAGCAGTGCGCTCCGCTCCCAGCCCGGCTTGGAGCGGCTGAATCCGTCTGTTTGCAGACCACTCCACCTGCGTATCACAACAAACTGCTTCACCAGGACGGATGCTCCTGGCCACAACAAAAGTGACGGAGGCTGAGGGCTCTCGTGGGGCGGAGGCCGGCTAGCAGGAGAGTTAGGGAGAGAATGAGGTTTGGGAAAAGGAGGAGGGGGCGGGAGTGTGTGCATGTTTTTTTTTTTTTTTTTTTTTAACTTTTGGATGGTTTTGTTTCCGGGACAATTATATCTTGCCTGCCAGCTTTTGCAAGACCACCGGCTTTGTGGCCGCAACCAGAGTCTAAGAGGATTATGGTGGGTATAATATGAGCAAACAGGGTTGAGGGTTTGACAGTGAATTCCATCTCCAAAGACACAGGACTTTGTGGCGCTTGGGAAATGGCTGGTGGACACAAACCCTCTTCCCTTTTACCAGGAAAGGCCTGGAGGCGCTGAGCGTCCTGCCCCAGGCCTCTGAGGCCAAAGGTCCCAGGAGAACCACGAGGGGAAGGCACGGGGCGGGGAGCGGTTAGCTTTAACTTCAGGCAAACGGCTCCTTTTCCCCTTCAGAACTTCTTCTACCCACCCCTCCTCTGGGTGTATTTGCAGACAGGATGTCCGAGGCAGGTAAGGAAAGGAAGAGTGTACTTGGACAGCAAGGAGTAGGAACAAAGAAAGGTCTCCAAGGGAAAGTTGCCCAGGGGGTGACTGCCATCCTGTGAAGCTCAGAAAGTACCCCTAAATTCTGCAGTCACGAGTCTGTTCCCCTCAACCCCTACCCCTTTCCAGATCTCAGAGCTAGAAAGGGGCTTATTCCTCTGGAGGGGAGCATGTCTATGCGGCTCATTTAATTCCGATGGTCAGAGAGGCAGAATTCCAGACCCACTGTACCCCACCCCTATGATAATGTGAAAGCAATAATAAAGATAAACCCCCTCCTAGCTCCCTCCCGCCCACCCCAACCACCAAAACAAGAAGCAAACCAACAACTCATCCCGGCATTGAAACAGTAACACTACAGTCTCAAAACCTGAATTTCTAGCCCGACTTTGCTGGGAATTTCATTCAGCCACCAGCCCTGTCCCCCAAACCCCTTTCCAAACTGGGTGATTGTGGATCTCGGAAGCAGCTTTTGCGGGATCTGCTGGCTTGAAAGCCGGAGGAGGCTGAGAAGCTCCAGTGAACCTGCCTCGCCATCCCTCCGGCTCTCTCTGGCCGCAGAAGCCACATCCCTGCCGGCACCACAAAGGAGCTCTACCTCCGCAGAGAGAGGACGTGTGGGCAAAAGCGAGTCGCTCCTAATGCGCCTGTCTTTCCAAAAGGTTGGGTGAATACGCTGGCTTTGGGGAAAGTCTTTAATTAGCTTCCACAAACTTCTCCTTCCCTTGTCTGCAGCTTACCCTGAAGTGGAGGGTTGGAAACTGTTTTACACCTTGCCACTCACATGTTAATTAATCTCTATCTAACCCTAATTGCAGTTTATTCAAGCACCGCTCAACAGCTCACCCACACAATAAACACTGGTCCTACTTTTATACATATTACTTCACGTTAACACATCGAGTAATTAACTCCAGTACCAACTAATAGTGCAAACAAATATTTTCTGTAAACGAGATGATTTCAGGCAGAAGAAGAGAGGACTGGAGAAACGTGAAGCTTGGAGGAGGCAGCTCTGAGATTTCGCTTTGCTGCCTGCAACCTTCCAAATTCCTTCTCAGTTGCAGTATTTCCCCCCGCCCCCCCTTTAGGGTCAAAATGCTTTATTATTTTTTTTTTAAGAGAGGGACAACCATAGGAATTAAAATGTCACAATTTCAGGGAGCTGATGGAGGGGTTCTGTGAGCTAATGTAACTTTTTTTCTTCCTGCACATTTTCAGGGAGTGAAACAAATGACATAAAGGGCAAGAGGAAGGTCCTGGAGTAAGATGTTTTAAGAACGTGGATCCATTCACAGAGAATAAAGCTTGCCAGCCCCCCTCTCTGAGGAGTCCTGTCTTTAAAGCGATCCCAGCAAGCCGAGACTGTGGCGGCAGACTGGAAGGCTCAGTTTCTCTCCCAAACTGGTGTATAAGCTCCACTTTGGGGGTTCGCTGCCTCCAGGCTCACAGCTAGACCAGAGAGCCACTTGACCTGGAGGGAGAGGTGGGGTCCACAAAGCCCTCTAGGCCTCAGTCTCTCTGCCCCGGGATTGGGATTCGCAGGCAGCGATCCTGCAGTTTAGGGGAACCCAGGCCCCTGGCGGGCAGCCTCTCTGGATGACCTGGGCTGGAACCCCCCCCCCCCCCCCCCCCCCCCGGGCATGGCCTGCCAGGCCTGGACCCACCGTGGGCTTCCCCTCTGCCCGAGGATTCCTCTCTGGGCCCATCTCATTCCTGGTGCATCAACCCAAAGACAGACGCTTTCCCCTCAGCCCATCTGGCCCGCGCCCAGGCCTCCAGGCTGCGGCTTGGGTGGGGAAACGCTGCCTGAGCTCTCCCCAGGGTGCTCAGCCAGCGCTGCTGCAGCTCCACCGGGCCTGACCCAGACCGCGACCTCGGGGATCTGAGGCTGTGTGTCGCCGGACCCCAGCCAAGCCACTCGCACGGGTAGGGAGTGGGGGGGAGCCAGGCTCAACCCCAAGGACTGGAGCTCAATGTTTTAATTGAAATCGCAGTTTAGGCTCAGCTGGTGGCTGTCTGTAGATGTTGCTGGGGCTCCTCTGGTGGGAAGCATATGAAATGTGACTGGCCGGCTGGCTTCCCCGCCTGCCCCCTCCCTCCAGCCTTTTTGTGGTCAGGAACCCAAACACTGTAATGGTGACTTTTGTTTTAAAAAAATGTAATGCCAGAAATCGCCCTACTGAGCAGACGCCTTGCGAAAGTGAAGCCAACCTCAGAGGAAAAACCCCTTTCTCCAGCGAAAGCTCACAGGTCGGCATCACTTCTGGGATCTCCCAGGGGCAAGGCTCTACTCCAGGAAGGCGTCATTCCAGCCCCGGCCACTTTTAGCATTTGGTTCTAGATGATACTAATTAAAATACTATCATTTTCTCTTCTGATGATTAGATTGCAATCAATACAAAACGCACCATCAC